GCTCTTCCCAGGTGTGGCAGATCAGTCGCCGGCTTCTGGACGGCCGCTCACAGCGGCTGCTGGCCACTCACGCTGGCTGCTGGCTACATACGGTAGCCCATGGCAACCCACTGCCACAGGGGCTGCAGCCTACGCTGTCGCAGGCGACTCATGCAGCCCAGCTCCAGGTTGAGCTGTTGTTCAGCATCTTAGCTGTGGAGGGCAGTGTCACTGGCCCTTGTATGTGGGATCCAAACTGGGGCCCTCTGGCGTCCCAAGCCAGTTCGTAACCATCGTGCCACTTGGCCGGCCCTGATGGTAACCACTTTGAGCACCTCTTTTCATTGCAGAAGTCAAACGTGACTTGTCGTCATCTTTTGTTACTGGTATATATTACAATTTTAATACAGTTTTCCTTTCTTAAAATGTGTATATATATTTTTGGCACCCTCTGTATTTCCTGGAGCTTCTAACTGCCCTTCTTCTTGGGTAACTGGACAAGAAACATATGCTTTCCTCCACCACTAAGACCTTCCACGTTCTTATTCTACTGCATTATTCACTCCTTTCTTTAAGACTTTTAAAATTAGAATCCATTGCTTTTCAAACATGCTGCATAGCCATTGTCCTCAAACTGGTTTTGATTGAAGTTCTGGAATGTTTTAGCTATTTCTTATATCCCTATTAAACACACCATCAAGTCAGTCAGGTAACCTATTCAGAAAGGTGTGCGTGGGAGATACATTTCTCAATCCTTATTCCTCTGATTCACTTGATTGATGGTTTGGCTAGATACAGAATTCTTCATTCGAAATCATTTTCTCTCAGAATTTAGAAAGCGGGGGTGGGTGGCCTTCTGACCATGACCGTGCAGCTGGTAAGTTTCCTACCAGTCACGTTTTCATGCACACTGCTGGCTTTCACCCGAGGTCTGATACACCCTGGGTGTAACGCTCTTGTTGAAGAATGAAGGTCTGAATGAAGCATCTGAGGAAGCTGGTGTTTATCCTCTCCACCCCCCGCCCTCCCCGATGCCCTCCCCTAAATGGGAAAGCTGACTTGGAGTTCTGTGTACCTGGTCAAGGCTTTTCAACTGGATGTAGGACGAGCAGGTAGTAAGCTGGTCTCCCCCAAATGTGCAAATGAAGAGGGTTTGCTTTACTTTGGGCTAACAACACTCACGTGAACAGCCCAATTTTTGTCCAGGTTGTTCTTGAAGAAAGTACTCTGGTTTTGATTTTTGCCCAGGGGAAAGAGCTTGGGACTGACAGCAGACAGAGCACAGGTCAAGGGCTCCCTCCCCATCAGCCCTCCATGGTCTACCTCACATCATCTTTCAACTAACATTTTCCCTTCCCACTTCAGTCCTTTGCACCTCCCGGCTCTGCTCCCCAAGTCCCTCCAGGATAACCTCCTGCAGTCAGGTGCCATATCCACCGCAGCCTCCTTTTGTGGCTTCTGCTCTGTCCCATTAGCCAGCATACTTCCATTTGGTTACCCTCTGGCAGGAGGTGGGATCACATGGTCCCTTAAAGTCCCTCCCAGTTCCTTTGCTGTTTTTCTTCTATTTCATTATTGTCATTTTAATGGAACTCCAGGAGCAAAGGGAATACTTTGTCTATCTTCTACCAAAAGGCATGATTAAATAAATAGCTTTCTGAATTCAACCTTTCACTCACTCCAAGTCTCAGGGAAATTAAAATACCTTTGGTAGTTTTATTGTTTTGGTTTTGTTTTGGTTTCAGTTCAATCAACATTCTCTAGGAGCCATCTGAAGGCTTGCTCAATTGTACTTTTCTTTAGGGATATTATAATTTACACCTCTTTCCTTCCATTTAAAACCAGGTCAAATGTTTCTGTCCATGACTCTTCCCTAATCCTGGGTCCACTGGCTTTTATGTGGTGGACCCTTAATAGAAGTTTGTTGACTTTCTATGATAAGACACAAATGGAATATGAACTTTCCATTTAAAACAGTCAATGGAAAAAATGTTACAGGTTTTTCATGCTCAAGACTCAAGAAATAATAAAGTCTCTATTTTGCACAGTCGATGCTCCAAATACCATTCATTGAAACAACATTTAATAACTATCAACAGAACTCTGCAGAAAAAAAACGCATTGATGGGAAGAGGTAGCTGGGCACTTAGAGATGGTTAATCAATTCCCAAAGTCAACGGATAAGGCCTTTGGAAACAACATATAGTATGGTTCAAAGTCCCACTGGGATCAAGTCCTGACTTAGGCATTTAATAGATACACTAATAGGCACTTAACCCATGTGGGCCACGGCATTCCATTTCTGAAATGGCATAGTGCATATCTCACTGGGTTAATATAAGGATTAAATGAGATAATCATGATAAACTAGTCTATACAGAGCCTGCCACATTGTAAGCAGTCAATAAATGTTGCCTATCATCATTACTAAAACATTAATTTCTACAGTTAACAGGGCTACCAGTAATGGCTTTTCGATTGTTGTAGAGAATCACTTGCCTGAAAATACCCACAAAATTATACAATATGGGGAAACTAGAGGTCAAAAATCCCAGCATAGATGCATACCTTTTCTATGAAACCTCTAATAACAAAATATACATTGTATGGAATTGAAATTTTTATGTTTCCCACCAAACCTAAAGCTATGAATCAATCTCTTGACAGGAAAGACTAATGTAAAAATGGTGAGAAATTCAAGTAGTAACCATAAGTCTTATCTTTCCCAAGTCGATGCTGACTTTTAAAAATATCCCGCATGAACCTGGTGCTTTATTTGAGGCCCTAGAAATATCCTTTAATTGCCCCACAGGGTGAGCTTACAAATGGAAGCCAAGGGTCAGACGCAAAAGCCCATGTCTCCTAAGTGTCAGAATGTGGATTTCTACCACCTGCCTAGCTACAGAGCTCACGTCTTTCCTCTAAGCCATGCTGCCTTACCATACGGGTGCAAAAAAGGTAAGGTAGAAATGTTTATTGGCTTAATGTTTCGGCAACTGTTTTCTCAAGAGAATGAGAAGGCTGAAATGAGAACAAGTATGATGAAATGGCTACCAACCCACATGGGTGGCCACAGGTGGTAAGTCAGAAATATTCGACACCTGATACAAGGTAAATAAAATTCCGTATTTTTAATGATCCTGTTAAATGTGTTACAGAAAGGATAATAAAGGAAGTTTACTATAGCTGGGCCCTAATATTCAGAATTCTAGTGATGAATGGTAAATACTGGTGTTCACAGTGTGTTCTACATAATTCTGTTTACTACTTTCTCAGGGGTCTACACTGGGAAAGAAAAAATCCAGAAAATTGGGGGGGAAATGGTGACATGTCAAAGTAACAGAACTTAAATTCTCAGGCAGCAACTAACTGTTCTTTTGGGTTCACGTCAGCCTCACTCCTCTGAAGTACAGAGCAGACGGAAACAAGCACGGTCATGGACTATTGTTAAAGGCATCCACTGGGTAATGGACGCATCCTGAAAGGTGATGCTATGCTAGTTCACACAGGCTCTGAAAATCAATCCACAGGTATCTGGATCTGATCTAACCCCTCCCTGAAAACAGAGTCAACCACCATGCTGTGAGAAACATTCGCACTCTCTCTCATTATGAAGTAACTGTCTACTTAAGGGGTTCGGGACCAACCAACCTGCATCTCTAACACAGGTGGAGCTTGTTAGAGCTAAAGCACAGTCTTTACCTGCACTTGCAAAGAAATCATAAGCATGAATCATAAATACATTACCCAAGGCAACAGGAAACTCCAGGCTTGCCTATAAACCATCAACATTCACTGATCTTAGTAATGGGAAAAGGGCTTTAAAAGTCATGCAGGAGACAGTGCCAAAAATAGTTGTAAAGCTCTTCTCCTGGTGGGGTGCACTGCGCAGTGTGGCAGCCTCGCTGGGAAGGAATGTGCTAACACAGATGGCACCTGGGAATCAGCAAGAACAGGCTGGCTGCTCTGGCCTTCAGGGTGAGTGAGGCTGCCACTTATGCAAAAGAGCAATTGGTTACTGTCTGTGAATTTAAGTTCCACATGTGACAAATAGAAATCTGGACAGTGAGGCCAGGCCCCGCCTAGCTAGGAGGAAGAAAGAGAATATTAAGATGCTTCTACTCAGGAATACTCAAGCTAAGTCCACTCAGTTATGGTAGCGTATTGATTCAAAACAGGGGCACAATTCTTCTCAGAGAGCCCAACAGACTTGGAAAGCAGCTTTGAGTCCACACCTTCTGGAAGAATTAGGGGCAAATGTCCCACAACAGCAGCCTGAAGTCTTTTCACTTTTTTATCTCATGATAAGAGAAAAACATCTTTGGTATATTGTTGAGAGGAAATTTGGTTTATCTTTAATTGTAAATGCCCACACCCTAAGACTCAGTCATTCCACTTCTAGGAATCTAACATACAGAAATATTGTGACATGTTCACAAGTTTTCCCACGCTCCAAACACACCCAAACACACACACACACACACACACACACAATCTTCATTGGGGAATGGTTAAATAAATTATGGCAATCTGTACTACGGGTCATCTCTAAATAACAATACATGCAAAAAGATCTCTAAGGTGAAGGGAGAAACACATTCTAGAACATGTATAGTTTCAACCCTTGATGTAAAAAACAAAGCTCTCTACAGGACTGAGAGAGTCGTGGGGACTTTCACTTTTTACTCTAATTTCTGTATTGTTTATATTTTTATAACGAGCATGTTTCTTTTGTAACTTACAAATAAAAAAAGTAACGTGGAAGTATAGACTCCTATAACTAATATAAAAATCAGCTATAACCCCACTATTCAGGCAGCTGTTGTTTCTATCTAGGTGCTAGAAATCCTTCAAAATAAATTTTCCAATGAACTCACACTATTACAAACTTTTATAGCCTGTGTTGAAATATTCAATTTTTCTCATACATTAAGTATTCCTTTAAAGTTATTATTTTGAATGACTGCATAGTAGTCTATCTTATGGTTGTACTACCATCTATTTAAATAATCCTCTACTGTTGAAAACTTGGATTGTTTTCTAATTTTTCTCCATAAGAAAACCAATGTGATCCCCATTATTGTACATACATCTGTGCACATCTCTATTTTCTTATAATGAATTTTCTGAAGTTTAATTTACTTGACCAAAAATATGACTGTTACTAATTTAATTTACTGGGTCAAAGAGAAAGAACACTGTTAGTATTTTTTTGAGAAAAGCTGTACCGATTTAAATTTATACCAGAAATGTGTAAGTGTTGGTAAAAGAATATTTTTCTGGGCACCAATTTATAGCAATAAAATGTTTTAATTATTGCCATTTTAAAAGACAGAAATGGCATTTCTCTGTGTTTTTGTTCGTACCTCTCTAATTAATAAAGTTAAACACTTTTCCATATGTTTACTGACTGTTTGCACTTATTATTTTGATAACTGCCTATTTATGCCTTTGTGCATTTTCTACCTGGATTACTTCTGTTCCAAGAACTTTAAGTTGTAATAGGTTACACATTCCTGTACAAAAACTCCTTACAACACTGTACCTAGTTGACCGCAAATACAGAGAAGGTTTTAAAAAGATAAAAAAGGTTTTAAAAGCAGCATAATTTTAGGATCTCACTGAAATATAGCTCAGGTATAATAGGTTTTTTAGTCAGTTTCTTTGTACTTAAAGTGAAAGTATTTCTCTTTTACCATTGAATTCTTCGACTTCCAGTTCTGGGGCTACCAGGTAATACTGTTCACACAGCATCTTGGCGGTTTCATACGCATCTGTAAGGAAAGAAAAAAAGTTAGCTGCTGCACTAATAACATAGGCACAGGTAGGTAGGTAGGTAGGTAGGTAGGTAGGTAGGCAGGTAGACAGACAGACATAACAGAATAAGCAAACAAGGACAATTTCTAACCTGATGGATTTAGAATTAATCAACTACTGCCTTTAAAAAAATAGCCTTTTTGGCTATAACAGAATTATGGAGACTGAACCAAACTTTCTCTCTTAAAGTTTTAATGACGATATGGCAAGCTCTATACTAACCATACATTTGTTTAACTTTTAAATATTCCCAAAAAGCATTTTTCATGAAAATCTATAAACTCAAGGCAATACTTCTTATCACCATGCAACTTAACTAAATTGTAGCAAAAAAGATATTTGTTGTAATATAAAAAATAATGCCAACAGTCTTAAGATTTGCCAATTATTTGTAAATGAAACATCATTAGTATTGCTGAATGAATGGGTTTCCATGAGCCACACATTCTAAGTTATTGGAGATTTTTTAAAAATGTCCTTTAAGTTAGTTAAAGGTAACAGGTTGGGGCTGATATTTATCAAAGTCCGAGGAACAATAGTTCACTTTTTTTTTTTAGCGGAGCCATCCTGCCACCTGTTGGCAGCTCAGTGGCAGCTCAGCTTGGGCCGTGAATCAAACCGGGCACCCTGTTGCTCAGAGCTCAAACTCTTGAGCGAGCTCTTAACCAACTGAGACACCCGGCCAGCCCAACAGTTCACTTTTGAAAGAAAAAAAAGAAAAAGAGTAAGAGGATCAGAGACATTACAGATATAGCTGGAAGAGAGAATTCAGGAGGTTACATCCCAAAAGATGGGGAACAATTCCGAGCGCAAAAGTTCATTATTATATACTACATGCGTGCCTTTTCTCTTGAACGTAAACAATTTGAGGTCACGGTTTACGTCTTACACTTGTTTTGTAACTCACATAGAACTTAGTATAAGCCTGTTAGTTGGTCAGTAAATATTCCTTGGTTTGACAAATTTGAAACCTTTTGATGATTTACTTTTTTAAAAACAGCTTTAATGAGGTACTATACAAGTCACCCATTTAAAGCGTACATACAAGTTCCTGGTTTTTAGTGTGTTCACAGAGTTTTGCATCCGTCACCACAGTCAACTTAACATTTGCATCGCCCCAGAAAGAAACTCCCTAACCATTAGCAGTCATTCCCTCCTCCCCAGCCCCAGGCAACCACAGGTCTACTTTGTCTTTAGAGATTTGCTGTTCTGGACATTTCATATAAATAGGCTCCTATAATATGTGGCCTTTTGTGACTGGCTTCTTTCACTTAGCATAACATTTACAAGGGTCATTCATGTTGTTGCATGTGTCAGTACTTTATTCCTTTTTTTTGCTGAATAATATTGCATTGCACAAATATACCACACCTTGTTTACCCACTCATCCATTGACAAATATCTGGATTGTTTCCACTTTTTGGCTATTATGAATAATGTTGCTATGAACATTCATGTCCAAGTTTTTTTGTAAACATGTTTTCATTTCTCTTGGGTCTATACCTAGCAGAGGAAAGTTGCTTGATCATATGGTAGCTCTATGTTTACATGTTTGCAGAACAGCTAGACTGTTTTCCGAAGAAGATTTTTTTTTAAGTTTCACTTTTACAATTTCCCAAGATCAGATATTCAAATTACTTTAAAATGATTCATGGGTGCGTCTACAAAGTTCTCAACTGGATATCAGCTCTTGGAGACAGGCTCAGACTTCTTTTACATTCCCCACATCAATACAGTGCATGGAGTAGATATGTGTTTAAGATTCGAGGTAAGAGAAAGAAGGAAGCAAAGGAGGGAGGGAGGAAGGGAGGGAAGAAGAAAGGGGAAAAATAAGCTCTATGGAGTATGAATATGTTAAAATTTGATGTATCAACCTAAAATAATACAAAGATAGAATTAGGGTATGTTCGGGCTATAAGTTTGGGTTCATTTATCTCATATTGCTCCCAAATAAAAGTTTACAAAATATTTGACCTCAGCATAAAAACTAACAATAGTGACATTCAAATAACTCTGACAAGATGAAATAACGAGGGATAGCCAAAGGAAATGTCAGTAAGAGGAGAAAAAAATAGTTGATCAGTGTGAAAACAGACATTAAAGTAGGACTGAATTTAAACCCTAAAAAAATTAAAATTTAGAATTGTACTAAACTTACAAGTTTTTTTCCTAGGGTATAATAAACTTCATCAAGTATTTGTTAAGTACTTTTGTAAAAAGAAAAGAAATCGAGACTTACTCTTTTTGCTTTGGCTACACCACCAAACAATGCTACATCTCCACCTAGTGACACAATAGCACAAAGGCGACCAAGAACTGCCAGGGCCATTTCATTTAAACCAACAAACATTGAAATCTAAACATGATGCTTTGTTACCCACATACAAGGCTAATATATCTCCACAGAACAACTCCTCCAAGTATATAACACCTTTAAATGTGTTTCAACACTGTTCTTCCATTCATTATAAAAAAAAAAAAGCCAGTCCCACTAAATGTGCAAGCTCTTCACGGTATTCACTTGCCCAATGGCCTAAGGTTATAATAGCATTCATTATTAAGAAAAAGTATTAGATAAATGTAACATGTAGAAGATGGAAGAGCCTAGATAGATGCAGCCAACTCGGGACTCAGAGATCCAGTGTGGTTCCCAAATCCACGTGTGAATAAGAATTTTTGAAGCATCACTACAAAATATAGTGCATCAACGCTGTAATTGAAAATTACACTGTGATCTTGAAAAACTCAAGACATCACAATGAGGCTCACACCCACAAGCAAGCCAATAGTATTTGGGAGCAGTAACAGTACAATCTATATTCATATGCACCTTTATAAGTTCCCATAGCACATCATCATGCCTTGGACACAATACATACCTACTGAATATTTGATAAATGGAACAATCCTCTTGCCCATCAGACATTCCTCAAGGTGTACTCAATTCTACTGATGAGAGCTGTTCTTTTTGGTCAGACTGGGAGCTAGGGGTCTAGTGTGGTTCCCAAACCTGGCAATATGTAGAATCCATTACCAAGTTGTTTTTCTTTTAAAGACAATTATTATTATTATTTTAAACTTTATTGGGAACAGTGTGTTTTTCCTGGACCCATCAACTCCAAGTCAAGTCATTGTTTTCAATCTAATTGTGGAGGGCACAGCTCACTGGCCCATGTGGGAACTGAACCGGCAACCCTGGTGTTATGAGCCCATGCTTTAACCACCTGAGCCAACCGGCCGCCCCATTACCAAGTTTTTTTTAAAAATAGAAATTATAAAATAAACTCCTGGAGATTCTGATGCAGTAGGTCTGTATTGAGGCCTGGCAATCTATATTTTTTTAATGTAGCAAGTAATTCTGAAGAGAGGTTAGATTTGGGGACCACTTGCCTGCAAAGTCAAGGCTGGGTCATGCTAATTCTGTCACTGTCTCCCAGGATATGAATGATTACGGGGTAAGCAGCACATACATCCTCAAACAGAACACTTCCATTTAAGTGATGTAACATAAAAATTAAAAAGCTTTAAAACATCACCAACATTAACAACCAAAATTCAACCACTGGCTTACAATTTCATTGCCTCTATTCTAGAGTAAAATGCAAATTCTACCTTTAACAAGCTTTCTAACAAGACTTTTCTGTTTAATTAGAAATCAAAATTTTTAAGTATGATAATTGACCAAATTACTTTTCTCTGCAACATATCTGAGCCACTACTTACCATCAATCTTTAAAAGGAAGTATTAGGAAATGATTATTACTGCCACTAAACCGAAGTGCTATTAATTGTTTTAAGAAATCTGTTTTCAAGGATAATAAGGTATTGATCGTAAAGTAACTAGCAAAACTGTGGGAGTGGCACATACATACTTCCTCAGGCTAGAAGACCCAACCTGGAAACACTCAAGACTAATTATTTTTTATTTAAAAGGCAGAGCCATCAAGAGTAGGGTTGAAGGCTCACACAGCAACTAGCTCAACAGATCCAACCCAGCCAGGAATTAGTTTTAAGAAAAAGTACACAGGAAAATTTAATAGAGAACAGAGGTTATTTTATTAGATTTCTTAAATTAGATGTTCCTATTTAAAATTCACCACAGAACTCTGCTATCAAATATTAGTTTCTATCATGAATACACACAATTGTTTGTTTACAAATATCTTTTAAGAGGCTGGACAAGGATGAATGAGTGAGTACTGATAAAACAAACATGAAGGTGCCAAGGCCCCAAACTGAACTTGGGTCTAGGATACAGAAAAACCATCAAGCTCAAGTTTAAGAAGTCACTGCCAGAACAAGGAACATAAATGACTATAACGCATTACAAAGTCACAGATACGCTGCTCTGCAAAAACTCTTTCAAGTTATAAAGCAATTCTAACAATGAATGTCTATCATCATCCTTCCACCTGAAGCCCATCCCGAGTGGGAACCAGCAGGGCTTTTTTTTTTTTTTAAAAAGCACTGGACCCTCTCCCACCACCAAGCCATGAGCAACTGGAGAAGAGGGGGACAAAACATCTAATGTAAGGGTAACCAATCTACAGGCTGACCAGAATCCTGACACGTGGTCATGGGCAAAAAGATAGGCTGAGCCCATTCAATTCCTCTTTTGAGACTTTAGGATCGAGACACTCAGGCAGGACGAAGGACAAAAGGATACACTGAGAGTTATCATGATCTAGAAGGCCTGGAGTGGGTCATCATTGCCCAAAACAAGTCGAACAGCCTACAGACAAGGGACCTACTAGGTTCTTGCAATAAACCTGTTTCTTGAGCAGGTCTCTGTTACTTGCAACCTGAAGAACCCTAAGTGAGCACAGAAGACATTATTTCTGAACCAAAATAATGACACACTCTCAGGATACCATTTGTATGCTATCATCCTACGCAATAATAGCATTTGGGAACAACACAGGCAAGGTAACATCGCTGTGAGAGCTGACTGTTGTGC